GTCCATTTATGTCTAATTTTTAAATTTATGATATATGTCAATTTTATTAAAAAATCCATATTTTTCTACTTTGAGCATCAAATTTCCTCATATTCTGAATATTATATCTTTGCCAGATCATTTTCTAACATTTTCTTCCATTCCCAGCATTTCTCTAATGTTAGTTTTCAATAGAGGAGTCAAAATGGCTGAGAGGCACTTGAGAAAGTGCTCAACATCCTTAGCCATCTGGGAAATGCAAATCAAAACAATTCTGAGATACCCTCTCACTCCTGTCAGAATGGCTAAAATCAAAACCACCAACGACAATTTATGCTGGAGAGGATGTGGTGAAAGGGGGACACTCCTCCATTGCTGGTGGGAGTGCCAATTGGTTCAGACAGTTTGGAAATCAGTATGGAGATTCCTCAGAAAAATGGGAATAAACCTACCACAAGACCCAGTAACTCCACTCTTAGGCATATATCCAAAAGATGCCCATTCATACAACAAAGATGTCTGTTCCACTATGTTCATAGCAGCATTATTTGTAATACCCAGAACTTGGAAGCAACCTAGATGCCCCTCAACTGAAGAGTGGATAGAGAAAATGTGGTACATTTACACAATGGAGTACTATTCAGCAGAAAAAAACAATGGAATCCTGAGATTCGCAGGCAAATGGATGACACTAGAAGAAACCATCCTGAGTGAGGTAACCCAGTCACAAAAAGAGAAACATGGCATGTACTCTCTCATATATGGATTTTAGACATAGATCTGGGGAGTGCCAGCCTATAATCCCATGGCCAAAGAGTCTGGGAAACAGAAACTTCATTTAGTGGCTGATGGAAGAAGAGGCAGACTCCCTCGGTTAAGTACTGAGCTGAACTCAAGAAAGCCAGTAACAGAGGGGGAGGACTGATGACCAAATGGATTAAGACTGGGCTGGTTTAACCCCCAGAAACAGCTGACCTGACAAAGGTTAACTCTTGAATCCCAGGCATCAGCTTGGGAATCCAGCATGGGACTGATCAAGACCCCCTGAATGTGAGTGTCAGTGAGGAGGCCTAGGTAATCTATTGAGCCTTGGGCAGCAGATCAGTACCCATCCCAAGTATACACACGGACTTTGGACTCCCATAGAACAATGTGAGGTGCACTCTCACCCTGAACTCTTTGGGAAGGGTCTAGGCCCTGCCATATATGAAATGACAGACTATGGACATCCCCATGGAGGGCCTCACCCTCCCTGGGGAAATGAGGGGATAATGGGGCGGGTTGGGGGGAGGACACTGGAGGAGGGGAGGGAAAGGGAGAGGGACCTGGAACTGACTTGTGAAACAATCTTGTTTCTTATCTAAATTTAAACTGAAAAATAAATAAATAAATAAATAAATAAATAAATAAAAATTGCTTATTTTGCTTTTATAATATTTGTGTTTATCTTCCTTGCTTTTGGGATGGTGTTAAAATGTTTTTCTATTTAAATCATATGTCCTATGTTGTTTTCTAACATTTTTGTAATCCAAAAATAAAAAAAATGAAATCTTGACATTTGCAGGCAAATGAACAGCGCTAGAAGAAACCATCCTGAGTGAGGTAACCCAGTCACTAAAAGAGAAACATGGTATGTACTCACTCATATATAGATTTTAGACATGAATCAGGGGAGTGCCAGCATACAATCCCACTGCCAGAGAGTCTGGGAAACAGAACCTTCATCCAGTGACTGATGGAAACAGAGGCAGACACCCACAGCTAAACACTGAACTGATCTCCTGGGATACAGTGACAGAAAGGGAGAACTGATGAGCAAAGTGTGTAAGACTGGGCTGGTGAAACCCACAGAAACAGTTGACCTGAACAAGAGGGAACTCTTAGACCCCAGACTGTTGGCTGATGGACAGCATGGGACTGATCCAGAACCCCTGAATGTGGGTGTCAGTGAGCAGTCCCAGGTAATCTACTGAGCATTGGGTTGTATTTATCCCTGTCATACAAATGGACTTTGGCTGCCCATCCCACATTGAGGGATGCTCTCTCAGCCTGAACTCTTTGGGTTTGGCATAGGCCCTGCCCTGGATGAAATGACAGACTCTGGGGATTAGAGTGGAGATTGGGCAGGAGACTGGGGTGACTGGTTGAGGTAGGTGACCACCTGGAGAGGAAGCTGAGGTTGACATGCGAAGCAAGCTTGTTTCTAACTTAAATAAAAAAGGAAGAAAAAATTCAAAACATGAGGAAAGCTGAGTTTCACTCTCAGGTCTTCTTCAAAGTAAGGATTTCCACTTTAGCTATTTACAGTCAATGTAACACTACAAGACCCAGTGAGAGCAACCAGAAAACAGAAAACAGAAGGACACACAAGAACTAGAAAAGAATGAATCAGATTATCACAGACTTGTCATGGCCTGATTATTGATATGTTTTACATATTTTAATACTTTGATATATGAATACTGTATTTATACAATTTCCACTCCATACTTTCCTTTCAACTATCCCTACATAGGGCACTACACTTTCTCAAATCCATTACATATTTTTCTTTAACTGCAATTATTATTACATAAACAAATTCTCACACACACATATGTATACACACACAATATATATATATACATATATATATACATATATATATATAAACATACGTTCCACTAATTGAAATATTGACTTTTAAGCTTTGAAAGAACTGCCATCTTGCCTTCTTTGCAACTTTGTAACTTGTTGAGTGTTTTGTTTTAGTGTTTTTCACATTTATATATGCTCAGGCGTGACCTCTTGGGATTCCATAACTTATCAGTGGCTTTTCCCTGAAGAAGACTGATTCTTCTCTCAGAAGCCATGAATTTCTTAAAGCTTCTCGTCTATGAAAAGGAACTTATAAGATTTACCCCATTATGGTTTGAAGGTCAAATGTTGTTGTCATTATGTAAGTGATGTGTAGGCATCCATATTATCAGGATTTTGTGGCTAAAATTGTCTCTCATATATAGACCACACACATACACTCACGTCAAACAACTAAAGAACCCTGAACAAAGAGAAGGAAGCATGTAGGTAACGACTTATAAAGGTACTGGATCTCTGAAATAAACAATGAAGACAGAATTACCATTGAAAAGATAAAAATAGCCCACTGGAACAGAAAAGAGTGCCGAGAAGTAGAAATACACCTCCCTCTCAGTCTGTCTGTTACCCCTCCGTGTGTGTGTGTGTGTGTGTGTGTGTGTGTGTGTGTGTGTGTGTGAAGCTAACTGGTGTCTCTGAGTTGTCATCTCTTCATTTTTGGTCAGTCAAGAAAGTACAAGTAAAATTTTACACCTATCATACACATTTTAGAAACTATTTTTATCTTCACTAGGCCACAATTATTGATTAATATGTTCTATTTTCAATAATCACTATGAGTGCCGAGTATTTTAACATTCCTAAACTCAGAATCAAAGTTGTAATCACGCTTTGCGTCATGCTTCTCCTTCTGAGATAGCCCTACACCATATTTAATTTCAAATCTATTTACAATTTTAGAATCCATTGCCTAAGATTTAATTAAACTAATTCAGACTTTATTAATTTAGGTACCTAGCCATCAGTTTTCATATCTGATTTGAAATTAATGAAAATATTATAAAGACTTACTGCCTGCTTTGCACTCTCAATATTATCATCATAATCTAAATGGGCTGTAGATATTTGTTCAGGTTAACTTTCCCTGAAGTAGAAATGTTTTCCAGGGGTAAGGAAGGCTACTCAGGTTTGAAATCTGCCAAGAATTGATAAATATGCCCCCAAGGAAAAGCACTTGCAGAAACTCACAATGTTCATTTATCATTCTTTCTAATAGTTTCTATCCTTTCCTTTGTTGTTGTCAAGTCTATCTTTCTAAAACATCTTTGTTACTTTTAAATTATTTTCACTACAAATTGACAAATTATAGTTATGATACATAATTTAGGGTTAAAATAAATACAACTAATGTGGAATAAACAAGTAAGGTATCCATTACCCTCTCCAGTAATTAAGACATTTTAAGATGATAATATTTGGAGTTTCTTCCCCAGTAATTTTCAGTTATCCAACTTAATGCTATTTCTACAGTCATAAAACAGCAATAACTATCAAATATATTCTTTGTGACTAACTAAAGCTTTGTGATAGTAAGCTAAATTCCAGTATCTGCTTCAACATCATTATATTGATGAAAATAACCCGAAATGTATTGACTCTCTGCAATCCTACTTATTTGTGTATGCATGTGCAATGTCATGCTTTATTTTGCTTGTTTGTTATTCATGCCTAACACATTTTAACTGATTCCACCACTCATCATACATTAGACTTCAATATTTCATGCTTTATTATACATTGTCTTTTAAAGAATGTTATTTTATATTGAGAAATATTTCAATTTTGCATGATTGTAAGTTTAGCAATTTTAAAATGTATCTGCCTGAAGCTGTTGTACATGGCTATGTGTTATGTAGTTTTTAAGAAGCAATTTGAAAATACTATGTATCTGTCTTTATAAATATACAAAGATAACAGAAAATGCTTCAATAGTTAATATAAATTACCCAATATGATTTTAAAAAGTGACCAATTTAAGGTGATTTGTCATAAGAGTCATGTGAATGAGAAGACGCACAAAGCATGCTGGCAATATTTTCCTGATAAGTGAAACTCAAGGGCTTCTAGAAAATTTAATAAACATAAAGATTATTAGATGGTAAACTGAAGTATTGAAATGAAAATATTTTTTTAATTAGTAACTAATACTTTAACCCAAGAGAAGACTGGATTCCAACAACACATAAGCACATAAGCACTACACAAAACACCAATACTAAAACACTAAGTGAGCAATAAAAAGTGCGATATAGTTATCTTGAAATATTAATAAAAATGAAAACTCTCTAACTATGAAATGAAACATTGCTTCAACAGTAGAAAACAGTCCTTTAGTCATATTTTGTGCCAAAACTGAGATTATTTTCGTAAAATCTCTATCTTACCTGAGTCTTCAAAATCACTGTTGTAGGCTTTCCATGTTTCTGTTATTCGAAGAAGATTCTCTTCCATGGCTTGAATGTCCATGGAGGGGCAGTTGCATTCTGGGAATTTTGGACCACAGTGGCACCAGCAGTCATTATCCTTGCAGATAAACTCACCCTCTGAATTACATGCAATGTAGCTCAACGCTGCCTGCACAAAACGTTCCTGAAGATAGTCGGGAAGGAGAACTTGAAGCCCTTTGAAAGACAAATGAAGTGTTCAAGTTTGCGGCATCAAAAGTGCTAACTCCGAGTAGAGATAGCAAATCTTAGTATATTAAACATGAATTTATCTCTGTTTAAAATCTATCATTAGGAAAATCACCTGCCTGTATAATTTCAACACATAAAGACTGCATGAATTTTTGTACAAGTCGATAAACATGGATCTATCTGCAGTCCTCTGTATACCAATACCCAGTTATGCCAGCACCATTTGTTGAAGATGCTTTCTGTTTTCCATTGTATAGTTTTAGCTTCTTTGTCAAAAATCAAGTGTTCATAGGTGTGTGGGTATCCCTGGCATACAAACAGACTTCGTGTGTCCATAACACAAAGAGGGATGCTCTCTCAGCCTGGACTCTTAGGGGAGTGTCTGGACCCTGTGCTGAGTGAAATGATAGACTCTAGATATACCCTATGTGGAAGGAAATGGCGATAGGGTGGGAGGCTGGGGGGGATGATGAGAGTGTTGGGAGTAGGGGAGGGAGAGGGAACTGGGATTGACATGTAAAACAAGCTATTTAAAATGAAAATAATAGTAATAATAAAAAGAAAAAAAGACTGCATGAATATTGAATCTCAAGATTTACGGACATGATTAGCACTTTACACTTTTTATAACAATCCTGTGGGTCTTTGATAAAATTAATTAAAACATTTGATTATGTTTTACAGAACTTATACTAAGCCTACATATTTGAAAACACATGCTTACTGTTTTCTGCTCCTTGATTTCAATACTTTTGTGTTTCTTTTAGATCACCATTCTGCAAAAACAGAGTCTATAATATTACTAGCTGTGTGGTAAGCATTCAGCAAGGTTGATAGGGCAGATCTCAACACAGGACACCAACAATGCCTACCTTATATTATTCTATTGTTTAGGACCAAGCACAAAACTTTGAAGAAAGGAGCAGTTGGCCTGACACTGTTAATTCACAGTCTATTTCTTTGCTGTGAGTAAGTAATACATTCTGATAGACTTCACTACTTTTCTTAGTTTGGTAGTTACTATCTCTTTTGGGAAGTCCTATTTCGAATAAACTTGAAAAGAAATATTTGAAATTTTCCATTTAATATATTTTGAGAAAAAAAACATAGTTTCAACTCCAACATTTCTTGCTACAGAAGAAGGGTGCCTAGTCCAATTGTCCTCAGAGAGCCAGCACCAGCAACTAGTGCAAACAGATGCAGAGACCCACAGCCAAACAGTAGGTGGAGCCAGAGGAACCCTGCAGGAGATAGGGAAGGACTGCTTGTAGGATCCAGAAGGGTCAACGTCACCAAGAGAATGTGGCCTACAGAATCAGCTTATAGGGGCTCACAGAAATTGAAGTGACAACCATGACCTTGTATGGGTTTGAGCTAGGTCATCTTCATGTTTTTGATAGTTTTGTAGCTTGGTGTTCCTGTGGAACTCTTAACAGTGAGGGTGGTCTGTTCCTGACTCTTGCCTAGTTTGGGGACACTTTTCATCTGCCTGCATTGCCTTGTTCAGACTTGATGTGAAGGTTTCTGTCTGTTTTATTGTAACTTGTTTTTCAGTGTTCAGTTGATATATCTGTGAAGGCTGCTCTTTTCTGAAGTGAAAAGGAGGATTAGTGAATCTGGAGGAGAGGGGATATGAGGGTGGACCGGTAGGAGTGGAGACAAGGGAAAGTGCAGTCAGGATGTAATGTATGACAGACGAATGAAAAACAAATCAAAACAAAGCACAAAGCAGTGAAATATTCTGACCAAGATTCCCACGATGACATATCATTGTCACCCCAGCAACTGAGGACCAGAAGATGGAAGATGGAAGATAATTAATGCTTTGTATGTCATCCTAGCTTATGTATCAGGATGGAAGCCCTCCTTAGCTAGTTGAGACCCAATTTGGAAAGAAATAAAAAATGAAGCAAGGACTCAAAGAAGGAAGGAAGGGATGGAGGGCAGGTGAAGGACAATGGATAATAATTAAAAACATGTCCCCACAAAGCATGCTCATATATGTGCACAAATGGGGCATACGCATACCTACGTACACATAAATACAAACATATAAACCCATATAACCATGTGTATATACATATAAAGAAGGGGAAAATCAGGATAGAATGAAACAGTTGGTTAAAATAAATAACAATATACAGAAAATGGTGCCAACACTAAATAGATGCTTATTATTAAACTAAATTTGATATTTACTGTTCTTTTGTAACAAAATCAATTCATTACTTCACCCCTGACTTTTATCTATGAACCTGAGTGAGTGAAAGACATGCATCAGTATTCAAAAAATGAATTTCACATTGCATTGATAACTGTAACCATATCCTAGTATTTGTTTAACAAAAATACCATATACTTGGTAGTATGTATATTCTACACATTTGCTTATTTAGAGTACTATCTTAAAATTTTCAATTTAAATTTACATAGAAAGATTTATCCGAATCTTTATTTAAAATGCCATTGCTTGGTACATTGAGTATTTGAAAAAGACTGACATGATACTCTCCTATTGTTGGCAGTAAAGTTAATAAATTAAAATTATTGTAGTAATGTAATAGAATATGAATGAATAACTATTGGGGGTTGATTCATGTATTGTACCAGCTATTACTAATTGGGTCGTTAATTTTATTAGCCTTATCAGAACAACAAAACAGTTCACTAAAGACAGCATTTGACCATTCATGTGACACATGAATATCTTTCAACATGATGGAGTAAATTTTTTTTATGTCAAATGATGATCATTGACAAAGTGACAGGTATATCAATGAGAGACTTAAAATATTTCACATAGTGTTTTTTCAGTGTACATGGACTTATAACAAGGTTAATCAAGAAACAAAGTTGGTGTCTGTTCATAGCTTTCTATGTTAGAAAAAGTCAATATAGCACAACTGAAGTTAAATGACATTTAATGACAGAGTGGGTGCTAGTTTTTTGAAAAAGTGCATAGAGAAAAATGATGAGTTTTGATAATGTGAAATACATCAGATGGCAGCAGCAACTATGTAAAAAGACATACTACCTTGAAGTTGACATAGAAATTTCCCCTCCTCCATTAAATAAACCCAATATAGTTTTGAAAATATGAAAGATATGTGACAGGTGCAAGAGAGGAAAGTCATCAACCCTCCTCTGTGTCTGCAACACCTAAAAGCCACACCAATGACTGGAATGGCAAGAGATCCAAAAACGAAGTAGAGCCATTTAGCCACCTGGATTTAAGGCGTTCTCAATAAGAAAGAATTCATGCTTGCTACTCTAAACCCCCACAACTACCCATGACTGGTGATACCACAGAACCTAAGGAGACTATTAGTGCTGCTTTCCTAAACCAGCATAACTCCAACTATATTCTAAGTACCTATCCTTATGACCACAGATATTTATAACTTTCATAACTCCTCAAAGAAACTTCTTTTAGTAGTGGACAAAAATGATTACCGAAAAGTCACAACCTATCAAGATGAATAGACCAACTGACCTGAGGTACAATGGGAACTAGCGAGAGCCAGATGGTCAGGAAGCCTGCTGATACTGTCTCTTGTTTATGACAAGGAACCTGAACATACAAAATCTCAACAATAAAGTTGCCAAACTAAAGCCAGAAAAGTGTAGCACTGCCTGGAATGCAAACACTGATGGAGAATGGAGAAAAACTCAAAAGACCCCTAGATGAAGAGATACAATCACTGGTTCCTGAAAGACAAAGACTGAGTCTTCAGCAGCAGCCAGCCATCTGATAGACAGTCCCAAGCAGTCAGCCCTAAACATGTATACATATAGGCAACATTGCATTAACCCAGCAAATTGGATTTCAATAGTTACAAACTTACATGAATATTTAACACTAATAATTATAGATAAAGGGTAGTGAGTTTCAGAAGAGTGATGGGGAGGAGAAAAAGCAGAAAATTGCTTGCATATGGTACATGTAATGAAATTTTAAAATGTGAAGGAACTAGAATGTGAACGTAAAAAATAAATGTGTATTACAACATGTATTCAGAAGTGATACAGAATGCATGTGAAGTTCCGTATATGCACATATAGAAATCCATCCTTGAACTCAAAGTTCTATTCCAAGATCCCTAAATATTTTATTTTACTATTACATTCCTATTAATCACATTCACACTTCATTACTAAAGCTACCTGAAATGCAAATTTCACCAAGAAATTTAAATTGCACACCATAATATGTTATCAACTTAATCACAATGTATGTTATGTTACATAATAGTTATAATGTAGCAAATTTGGAATGAAAATCTTTAAATTAAAATCTTTCCAAATAATCTGTCATAAAACTACTCACAAGTAATTTGAGGGAACAAAGTTTATTATAGATTTATGCATGATTTTCAAATCAAGTGTAAACTCCTTATTGAGATTCTTTTTATTTTAACTAAGTAACTTTACATAAACATCAATTCCTAGCCTTAAGTTTCTTTATTTTTGTCTGTTCACTTAGAGTCATCTATATGATATGTGACACACATATTAACTACACTGTATTTCCCATTTCATATATGTCATATATGTATGTTTGTATATTGTGTGTACTTCTGGGTCACTGTGAGCTGTTCATTGTGGGTGCTGAGTGCTTTGGAAGTGTAGCAAGGGTTTCTTGCTCCCTGCCCCAATATATGTTATTACTGACATGAAAATATTTAATGTTTTCTTAAGTAAGTCTACTGAAAATATGAGTAAGAACTAGTAATTTTTTTATGTACATGGGTAAGTCATGATAGTTTTATTTTGAAGTTTTGGTGTTCTTTAACAGTGCTTATTTTTTCACTAATTTTGATGCTTTTGTTATGGCTTCCTAACAAAATTCTTCATTGGGAGCAACTTCACTTTGACAAGCACAAATGTGTTTAAGGCAGCAATCTATAGAAAAAAATCCATATTTTTGATTCCACAAATAATGTATCAGAATGATGAAGCATGATTCATTTGAACTGAAATTTCAC